GACTTGGGAGGCTCTCCCGATACGCACCCCTCTTCCCTACTCCGACAGCCACCCGCCATCGGTTTCTATAATGTTTGATTCCGATACCAGCTGACACAGCCCTTCTCCATTTTTTCACTGTAATCGAGTTAAAGGCACAACCCAGGCAGAGGTCGTGTGAACGCTTCTCTTCGGTCTGTAGTATAGACCCCTAGAGGACAATCACAAATGTGGCGTTCTCGTGCACGGAAACCAACCGACAAGAGCGCTTGGGCCTTGCAAAGTAAGCTGCTAAGCTGCAGACTTTTTTCTCTTATCAGGCTGTTGTCTGGCGCTCTCTCATCTGTAGCGCTCTCTCGCCTCATACTCTCCTCTCCGCGCTTAGTCTCTCATTCCCTTAGCACAGCCGATTAGGAAGGTGAGTGAGCCCTTAACCTAAGCGTTTTCGACGGATTCTTTTCCTTTTTTCTTTACTGCCGGCCCACTTCCCACCAATACATTCGCATTCGTGTACAAGAGCCACACCAATGTGATCCTGGGGCATGCCTTTAAGGGGGGGGGTATAGTAAATTGATCTAGCAGAGTGGCATATCTTCTAAACTTCAAAAATTCACGCTGTTCTCGCAGAACTTTCACTCAATAAGAACACACACACTAAAAATTCACACAAAGAACCCGTCTAAACAGCAACCTTTTTAACGACCTCCGTTGCGCTTCTCCAAAAATCATTGACCTCGCTCAGCCCCGAAATGCGACCCACCTTCCTGAAATATTGAACGCCTCTAATCTCCAAAATTCTGGAGCTTTTAAAACCGTCATAGACATAGCCCATCAATGTGTAAGACGAACAGCTTCAAGGAGGAGTCACACGAAAATCGGCTCATTAGAATTCGTGGTAGAGGTGTCAGTGGTGCACGAAAGAAGGAAAAACCATGAGAAACGGCCCAGAACCCGAGAAATGGGACCCCTTCCTTGCCCGTTGATTTCCGCATTGATGCGGTTCACTCACTTGTCTGATTTCTTACTTGTTTTGCAAAAGTTACCAGCCGATTCGCGGAAGAAAGCGAGAGGCAAGAAGGTGGCTGAGCAGTCAAATTTTTATTTACGTGTAAAAAAGCTCACGTACAAAATTGAAAATTTGGTGAGCGTCCCTGAACTTCCGCACGCCGTCCCTAAGCAATATAAGATCTTATAATAGTGTTCATATGGCAAACTATTTTGATAACTACACGTTTTACTTCTCCAGATCTTGCAAATATATTGTTTCAGGGATGTCGGCACGGATGTCTACCATCAAGATGCGAATGTATTGCAGCGCTAAACTACGTACGAGACCGTCATGGTGCTTGCATCAAAATCACCGACTGTGATGTTCCAACTATGCTAGTTGCGTTTGAATCTGGAGGAGCGTTTCGAAAAATATTCGGAAAGCTGTACAACGAGGGCAAAGTAGAAGATGCAGGACGCACTGGCACGCAGCAAGAGCGATGAGCTTAGTACCGCCACCAGTTCCCTCTGACGTGGAAGGTGTGCACAGTTACCCCCCGGAAAACCTTTTTCCCCAAACTGTCACCCACAGCTATCCTCCTGAGCATCTAAACGAGGACATGGGTGTCCATAGCTACCCTCCCGAACATCGCCTTCACGACGTTCCTGTCTACAGATATTCTCGTAACTATCGTCCGAGAACAACAGCCTCTTATGATTATCCGTCCTATGATCTCCCTGAGGACGGAGGCGTGTACAGTTATCCTCCAGAATATCCCGAAGAAGTGGGAACACACGAATATGCGCCCCTGCCATTCATCAGCGACTATGGAAACATAGCCTCACACCAGTCAGGGACGTTCTATTACCAGCAAGGTAAAAAAGACGGCAAAAGGAAAGAACAATCACAGCATTACAATCCTTACGGTCCACTTCGTTTCGAGAAGGCCAAAGTGCGATCAAAACTGAAGGAATCGAGTATTTTGCGCCAGGTCCCTCCCGAGGTCAGCAAGACCCTACGGGATGTTGGAGGCACTAGCTCTCTTCGAGAGCTAGCAAACGCGAAAGTTCTGTTCGAATTTCAGCCAGATGATATTGAAAATCAAAAAATTCAGGTGGAACCTACACACATAGGGACGTCAGGTCCTAGCGCCACGGCTACCCCTATCATTCCACTACAGGCTACTACCACACTACCAAGAAGTAATCATTTCAGTGATATTGCCATGAGTTTCCCCGGAAACAACGACTGCGGCATCAGCCGACTCCAACTACCGAACTGTAAGCACTGGACCATCGCTCTCCTCGTCCCAGACGGCAGCACTCCCAGAAAGTCTTGAACCGGCTCCAAACGGTTTGGCAGCTGCGCCACACAGCCAAACGTCCACACAGCGTGATAGTCACAAGCCCTCTAACGCCAATTTAGACTATCATGAATCCGGCTCATCGGATGAATACGAAACCTTTGATTGTCCCTGCGCGACGGCTTCAAGCCTAGAAGGAGTAAACAATGTGACACAGATGACTTCGAAGGCACCAGCTACACCAAACGCGACAGCCGTAACTGAATCTCCCCTAAGAACATCGCAGGCCGACACTACGCACGGAAACGGAACTCCTCTGGAAGAATCAGTACCTCCCACTCAATCAAATCGTCGCAGCAATGGATGGACTAGAACGTCTTCAAGCCAGAAAGGTATCAATAACGTTACCCAAGCAACTGTACAGGTTTCCCCTTCGAAGCTGAACACCAGTGCTGTTCCCTAAGCCTCCCTTGGAACCGGAGCAGTCCGTTTCAAGCGCATGAGAAGGGAACTATTCCAGGAAGAAGCAGCCCATCCAGCTCCTGAAAAGCACCGCAGTGATGGGTGGTCCAAAACACTTTCAAGCCCAGAAGGTGCGAACAGTGCGACACAAGTGACTGTAAATGCATCAGCTACAATGCAGAACACTACAGTCGTCGGTGAACCTGTCCAGGGATCAAGGCATCCTAGCCATGCACTCGAGAACGCATCATCTCACGAACCAGCAGTACCTCCTAAACATCGCAATGATGGATGGTCGCGACCAACTTCACACTCACACACAAACGTACAGCAAACTGTCGCTATTGTGCTACCACAAGTCCTCTGCTTCCAGCAGCGAGCAATTCAGCCCACAATTTCGGAAGTTTGCCGTCTCCTCTCAACTACATCACCCTTCTTCTCACCAATCGAATCGATTATCATGTAAGTGCTTAAACTCTTCCAAGAACTTCGGATAACAGCTGAAAATGATCGAGAGGAAGTTGTAGGTCCAACTTTTTTCAGGTTAACCACAGAACGTCCACCGTGTCCATAATGGGTCATAGATAGTATGATTCAGTGACTGCTTGCACTCCCTTTAGCCAGTAGACTGCGACTTTGTAAAGAAAAACCTACTAGTGCACTTTATTTAGAAATCATTTACTCTGAAGAGCAACTGAGTATTTGCAGATCTAGTTGACTAGGTANAAGTAAGTACCGTAATTGACAGCCCTGGATTTGCGGCAAGTAGGCCGCTCTGGCCACTATAACCATCTGTTTGGACGTAATATAGAATTAGAATTGGACATTTTGTCAACAATGGACTGACATTGCACAAGTGGAGTAGGCAGCCTGGCCAAACTGGGGCTCAAAGAAGTATGGTGATGAAACTTTGTAGAGAAGTTTGGGAAATTTCTCGCTTCATATGCATCGTGAGAATGTTGGAAATTGGGCTTGGTAGCGTTGTCATCAAATTCGAACCCAGATATATTCGCGAAATTTCGGCCAATTCCAGAGATGAAAAAAAATCAAGAGTTCAAGTGATGTTGATGAATTACTCTGACTGGCCCATGACCATATCAGGAGGTTAAAGGAATTCCCCGGCACCAATGGACTTGCGCGGGCCATGGCCCAGTGGGCGGGACCGGAAGTTTTTGTGACGAAATGCATGGTAGGTACGGATCCACGTGTCGAACGCACGAACGTGAACAGGATTCACTTCAAACCTTCCCATGAACGTGGATCCGTACCTACCATGCATTTCGTCGCAAAACCACTTCCGGTCCCGCCCACTGGTCCATGGTCCGTGGAAGATTCCTTTATAAGGGGTCATTCGCATGAACATCAACTAGAACCTTCGGATAATCAAAAGGTAGAGTACCATCTACTGAAGCTATTCCACCACTGATTTCATTCGACTGCGGGTAAAATTGCAGTTGAAGAAAACTTATTTTAACTCTCCTTCTGAAACGTTGAAACTGTTGCTGATTGATGTTGATTGGGGTCGTGAATCTCTGAAGCTGAAGTGAAGTGAAAGTCTAAAGTTAACTTTCTTCACGTACTTTCTCGTTTCTATGAATTCCTCTGTGCGTTTTGAGATCTTGCAAGAAAGACTAAACGATAAAAGGATGCAGCACTTGACGCTAATCAACTCATTTTGGGATGCGGCCACGCATTCTACTTCCGTAGTGGCATTTTGAATGCGATGTGGCCTATACAATGACTTGCGGGGGCCAGCCGATGTACAAGTCAGTGTTTTTATCCTCCCAGACAAGTCTGGTACCAATTAACCGACCCCGGAGGGATGGAAGGCTTGGTTGGCCCGCACGGTGCGACGATGACGTGCGCTCTAGGGTTCCGCCCCGCTCAAAATATTAAGCCAATAAATCCTGTGTGACTGAAGTAGATAATTTTGCGCCTATCTCTTCACTAGGAGCATATTGTTGGTCAAGCGGACTGTTGCTTTCAGATACATTCAATACACCACATGGAACGGTTTTCTTTGAAAAATCTTCACTGTATCGTAAACACTAACGGACCTATGCTTTCGCTGAAGGAGCCTTCAGTCCTGCACAGGAGGACACGTCTCGTCTCCGCTTCTTCGACGGTTATGATTCGATTCCGTATTGTGTAATAAGACCAGGGAGAATTTTCGCTGCATGTGTATAAATATGGATATTTGTTGGTTAATTGGGTTTTTATGTATTTGGTTGTATTAAGTTGGTTAATTATTTGAGGGCAAATATAAATGTGAGTTATTCTGGTCTTGCATAACATTATAGGAGGTTTCGAGCTACTTTCCTTGACTTTGTAGAAAGTCTATTTTGTTGTCGATCAGAAGTTTTGCAATCCTGCAGTTTGGCGGTAGTCCTAGACTGGACAAAACGTAAAGGAGGTCATATCCATGCAACCGAAAAGCTGGAATATCGCTCCATACTTTCTGCGCATTGTAAATGAGCCAGTATCCACCAGATATGATCAAGATATGAGCTCATACACACTAATATCTGACCAGTTTGGCACCTCAGCACCACACGACAGTTCATGTGGCAAAACAGCAGAGCTCCAGCATCTAATAGTAGGGTGTTTCAAACGATCTGATGAGTAATGGAATTGACGAAGATGGGGTAGTATACAGAGTGTCCCATAAATATTGCACCAAATTTTGAGCTCAAATTCTGTAGGTGTTTATAGCTTTTCTTCCGAGATTGGCAGACCTTTCAATCCTCTATCCTCTTGTCAATGACCATGCCAAATTCCACGGCTTACCGTTCGGCCTGCATCTCATGGTGCGCCTAAACTTCAAAGAGTGTCTAACCTCTCGCACAGCTTGGTCGGACATCCGGCTGATGAGCAGCCGGATTTTCAGTCGCTCCGCGGCCTACCTTGCAGTAAAGAGAAGACCAATGAAAGTAATGTTTCGTCTTCTGTTGTGGGCCGCCCTCACAAGCTCTGCGTCTTGGATCTCAGGAAAAGCATGAAGAAGCGAAACGACTGCAATACCCGGGTTGGCTCGAGAAAGGTGACCAGAACGCTGGAGTTTCTAAACACAGCCATGTAGAGAGTGGTCGGATAACAACTGCTCACAGTCCATTATAAGTTGCATAAGCACCACTGCTCAATCCAACGGGAGGAGCACAGCAGAGACAAAAAGTTCAAAGAGCTGGTGTCGAGGGCCGAAAATGGCGATTACGCGGGCATCCCGCTTGAGGTCTTAAGGAAGTCAGTGAGAGTGAAAGAAATATTGGCCACAAGCAGCAGTCGAATCTCATCACGGTCTCAACCGGGGTCCCAACTAGCGGTCTGGCATTCGCAGAAACTCATATATGTATTGTAACGGTTGAGTAAGCTCCAAGCTAGTACCGAGTTCAGAGAAAATGAATGGCATTTTAACAATACATCTGATTCTTTTTAGAGCTCGGTCGCGATGAAAAGGATATCCCTATGTTTCTTTTGTTCTACTACCTCTTTTCACAGTCACTTGTGGAACTATTTTAAAGGAATCTTGCGCGGAAAAATCATGATTCTATTTCAGCCATAAATCACTGGCTTGAGACTCATTATCCACGATAATAGTGAAAAGAACTGAAGTATTGCTTTCGTTTTGATTAGAAATTCGAAAACTCGAAAAGGCTGCTACGCGTTCGAATTGCCCACGGACGTCTTTCACGAATGCTGGCGACGGGGATGCTCAAACTTGGTTCTTGGAGTGCATTCACTAGAAGCTCTTTCTGGCCTTCTGCTTCGTTGCATTCACATCTTACACTTCTACTCCATCCTATTCCATCGATCGATTTGTCTCCACTCTCCGAAATCGCGCGCTTTAACCCGATTCTCTCATTGCGTCGCCTGGTACGTAGCCGGCCAAACGCCGTCTTCTTTCCATGCCTCGCCTGGCTCTGCCTCCTGGTCCTTCGATGGTCCATAACGTGTAGTTTTTGTACGTTTGTTTCTCTTCAGAAACCGAATCTTCATGCGTGAAACTTTGTGTGCTATTTCCAGTGATCACAACTGACATATTCATGCAAGGATTTTCCGCGCAAGATTCCTTTAAGCAAGGCTAAGGCCAGATAGTTTGAAGGGAAAGTCACCAAAATCCCAAGTTGAGGTCAAATGCAGAAAGAATTTCCATAATAAACATTATAATCAACGACCATAAAGTATTAAATAATTCACGAGAAACTATGTGATTTTCTGGCGTTAATCCTGCCATTCTATAACCGTGAGGTTAACCCAGCCCATGTGATTAAAAAAACCTTCATAATCTTGCTCGCATGTCGCTAAGAAGGGAGGTCTTTCAGGACATGGAGCGCTTTTTCGAAATGGTTTTCTGCATGTTGTAGGGGCTCATGCGAGGAACACAGAACCATGATCCATTTTTCCTGAACGCCTCCAGGAATGTCAAAACAGTGGTGAAGAAATGGTCCAGAGTTCGATCCCCGGTGATGACTAATTTTTGCAATATAGTTTGGCGCCCCAGATTGCCGCCAAATCCATCGTCGAGAATAGATGTCATTGTCGTGTTTTGCGGCAATTTGGAGGCGCCAACATAAATTGCAAAAATTTGTCATCACGGAGGATCGAACTTTGGACCATTTCTTCCCCGCTGTTTTGACATTCCTGGGGCGTTCAGGAAAAATGGACCATGGTTCTGTGTTCCTCACATGAGCCTCTACAACATTCAGAAACCATTTTAAAAAACGCTCCATGTCCTGAAAGACCCTCCTTGTAAGCAGACATGGCAGGCAAATTTGAAACAACGCTCGAAGAATCTTCAGCTGTTAGAAATCTCACTCCAAGGTCGTTAATCCTACCGTCAACCACCGCCTCCTCACTGCACCTTTACTCAAACCCGTCTACGTTCAAGCTGATGGAAGCCAGACGACAGACCGTTTCTTCTTTTCCCATTCTTCTGATGCCACTGAGCAATAAATTTTCTGATTGTTCCGTAGAGGTTCTCACAGAGTACCAGTGAGATTAACGACTTTGCGCAAAGGTATGTATACATACGAGGAACACCCTGTCAAGTAGCAGAATCTTACCTACCGTCATAACATGGACTACATGATCCCCATAATAAAAACCTTGGGTTTTCTCATTTCGGAAGCAGAAAACGGCCAATTTAGAACTTTCTTACATCAAACCAATATCAGAATACTTTTACTAATTACAACATACATATAACTGAGAAAGAGACAAAATACATAAATGATGACCAAAGAAAAATACGAATCTCAGAATCGAATAACACATCGCGAGACGCTCGCTGCATTTGCATTCCATCATCAAAAAACCCGTTCGATGTCGATAATCTTAAAAGGAAGTACACGAAACTTCGACCAGAAAAAGAGGTATGGCCAATACAACGAAAAATGAATACAAATACAATTTCGATTTAGATTCTGACTTTGTTTTCCTTCTACAAGCAGCTTGTCGTATCATAGCCACCGTTCTACACGCCTCAAGCGGACAGTTCCGTTGGTTTAGAGATAGAAATAATGGAGTGGGTATGGACAAAGAATGAGGATAACACAAGAGACGGATGACTAGCGATTTCACCGGAAACTACATAAATATCTTTAGATTTGGGCCAAGAGAGCAACTTGTAATACTATGCGCAGAATAGAAATCTTTTACCCGAATTCATAAACTGAGTCGCCAGAGGCTCCGGCCGCCTTCATAGTGACCTGATTTATGACGTGATCACTTGAGAACAGATAGGAGTTGTGAAGGAGTTATCAACTGCAGAAAGAAATGGAAATGATAATCAATAATATGTGTGTGCTCAATCAATTTTTGGCAGTCCTCTAGTGTATGATGGCGGAATGAACTTGTGACAGCAATGGATGCTGCGCTCGTGGGTGCGGCAATCCAATACCCTGCGATGACAGTAAGCTGTGAGAAAGTCCCTGAAAAAATTGATTATCACCAGTAGGAAACGTATGGAACTCAAAAATCGGTGTGTGGAAAGTTCGAGGAAAGTTACACTTGAGCGTGCGGTCGCGAAAGGACTGAGGGCCGCTCGTGCGTGGATCGGCTGCTCGCTTCACAATTGTGGCAAGTCAGCAGCTATGTCAGCAGCTTAACCCTAACTAGCATGGATGGGGCATAAAGCTTCTGACGCTAACATGTCCTACTTCGGGATGTAAATTTTCAAAGAGCTGGAAATGTAGGAAATAAATGACGGGTTTGGCTTACTCACGGCACGATAAAGCTTCGATGAACTCTATTCAGGACAGAAGGCGGAGCAGCT